AAGATGGAGCATAATAGCTTCATGTCTTGTTTTGTTATTTACTTTGTAGTCTATGTTATGTGAACCTCATACTTTGTAAACACTTTCTTTCAAATGAAATGGTTGTTTGTTACTTTGATTACTATGATGCATGTCTTGTGATACTAAACATGACATCCTCCGCCCCCGAACGTTTCCGCCATTCCGGTTTGGGGGTGTGACATAATCCGCAACGCACATGACTACAGAATATCTCCTGCTCAAGGATTTTAATTTTAATAATTATTACTTATTATATGTAGCGCGAATTTGCAAGTGTTACAATTATCTCCCCTTTAGGTGAGTACGTCCCGGAATCATCAACAAAACAGGGGTTGTATAATGACTCCAGACGTTTTGTTTTTGTCCTTGGTTATAGTTATAACCCTTATATCTTTGTATTTAGTTTCTAACTCTGAAACTTCTTGACCGTTGATGGTGCTAAATCATGCACCTTCTCTTCTTTCTAAATTTGATCTCCATTGGAGACTCCTGCTCCCTTTAGAATAAACTTAAACTAAGATAATGTCTTTACTTCGACTACCCCAACCAACTATCTGGTCATGTTTTTAATGACCTCTCATTGCCTGATGCAATGGCTAGACTCAGGTCTCATTGAGCTAGAATTTAGCATGAAAGATACCTTCCTTCATGTTATAACACTACTAGAAAAACAGCCTTTTATGACGCGCAATGCATGTCGTAAAACGCTCAGACGATGCGCAAATGCGTGTCAAGGAAGGCCCTGTCATAACGAGAGACGACACGCTTTTGCGCGTTGTCTATAGACGACGCGCATTTACGACGCACATTTATGACACACATTTACGACGCTCATTTACGACGCGTAATGCGTATCAATGAAGCCCCTGTCATAAAGGAAGACGACACGCATTTGCATGTTGTAACCTTACGACGCACGTTTAGGACACACATTGTGTATCATTAAAGCCCCTGTCATAAATGAAGATGACATGCATTTGCGTGTCATAAACTTTAGCAACATTTACGATATACATTTACGACGCGTCTTTACGATACTCATTTACGCATAATACAAAAATATGGAAACAAATATTATACCAAAACAATCAATTTCATCCATAACATCATGTCAAAAAATTGTAATACATTGGTATTAAGGGGATCCGATTGTACATTGTTATTAAGAGGTTTTCCCTAACTATATATAACCTAATACTGCATTGCTATTTAGGGACACCTTGTTTCTACTTCTTATTGTTATGCTTTTGTTTCCACATGATACCTGTTTTCATCATCAACACATTAGTATTCAGATAGGCTTCAAGCATCATCAATCTATGTTATAAATATTAGAATTTAATACACATGTAGTAAAATACCTTTTGCCAAGAATCCAGGCTTCAATACAGCCCATACCTGTATAAAATCTTAAAATTTAATACACATGTAGATTATAAAAGTTAATATGAAAGAGTGAAATAGTAAAATACTTTTTGGCCAAAATGCATTCCCAATAATAACCTTGACTTATCTCAGGACAAGCACTTAAATTTGGTCAAGAAAATGTTTCCAGTTTGATATTTAAGATGAGATTCATATGAGAGAATCAAATCTAAAAAACTAAATTTAACCCAAAAAGATGAATTTAGGAGATAAAAGTAATTGATAATTATAATATATCATTCCAATGTGGAAAACAAGCATAACTTTCAGATTACATTGTAATGCTTCATTCCAATCCAGAGGGCCCACTTCCAATAATTTCAACTTTTTTCCTGTAAATAAATTAAAAAGGTCAGATTTAAAACTGAAACGTATAAACCTACCTACCTACATATTTACCATATTGTTAGGCTGCTCCACACGTTGCTTCCCTTCTTCACCTTGTTCAGCAACAACAAACATTGCTGCTTGAGAATACATGCCACAGATCTTATTCACCACAAGTCCACTGCCATTACAGAACAAAATTGGTGTTTTCTTCATCTTCTTTGCCACATCAAGTACGTCAACAATTACTTGGGGCCATTTACACTCAGTATTGACTATTTCCAGGACAGAGGAACTGCATATATTATAACAACTCATTGTTTACCAACAAAACAAACTATATGATTATGATTACCTACCTACAAAAGTGGGCCCCAGCAATCCGAAATTGGGATTTTGTTCTTTCTCCAATTAGATTTAAGTCAAGTGTGGGACTACTTCTTGCAAGAATGCAATGTTGAGGGCAATAATGCTCAAGATCAGCAAAAACTTGCTGCTTTAACTAGATGCTTCCCTCCACTGGCTGCCAACACACCAAAACTTTTAACTTAATTACTGCATTTTGATTCAACTCATTTATAACATAAATAATGGGCCTAGCTTCCACCATAATTTCAGCTCAATCAATGTGCTCTAAGAAAAAGATTTTGACCTATAATATACTTTCACTCTTTTTTCGTACACAAATCCCTGAAAATGTTTTTATTCGAAAACTATACGTATTTATTCAATAATTTGATTGGTAGCCAAGTCTTGAGGTTATTTTACATGGTTTTAATTTAGAGAGAGAGAGAGAGAGAGAGAGAAAGAGAGTTGGAACACCAGAAAACTATAGGTATTTTTTTTCTTTCAAAAATGTGATTCTTGCTCAGGGTTATAATAAAAAAAATAACCTATATAGTTTCACACTTGTCGCAAATAAGCCTCTGAAGAATAACTATTTGCATGAGCAAGTCCTTTAACTAAAAAATACCTCATTGCTTTTTTAGTGTCATGTGTTTGATACATATGATACCACATGACATTGGTTTTTGTTTTGTCATTTGTATTCGGCTACCAAGTTTCTGTTTGATACTTGTGTCACTAGCAGTCTACTTTGACAAAAACCTCAACATCCGGTAATCGTTAAAGTTTAAAAACATACCTACTTCTCATGTGTTCCAATTTAAGAAATTTACATCATGCAATTCTTTTTCAAGGACTTATATGCCAAAACCCTTGTTGTAACAGATGAATTATATAGTTAGGACTCACACTCACCTCTACAACTAAATCCACATGTTTGAAGCTATCATAACTGAGTACACCTTTCAACAGAGATACAGTTCTTTCAAGCTTCTCCTTGGTCATTTTCCCTGCCATAAGATGGCTATGCAAATTGGCTGAAGATGAAGATAACCAAGTAAGAGTTGTGAGTTGTGACCGTACTTTTTAAGCTCATATCATGACTCACCTTTGATTTCACCGAGTGCAGCCTCCGCAGAATTCTCATCATCCTCCTTAAATATTACAGGAAAGTTAGCAAGGATAAAAGTTGTTGCTATTGCTATTGACCCCGGACCAATAACACCAACTCTATTTACTTTCCTTGGCTGCAACCCCATATCAGTTATACCTAAAATCTGTAACTGCTTTTAACAAGTCATCATCTCCAGAGCCTTAGGAAGGCCAACAAGGCGTGGAAGACGCTGAGTGTCTGGTTCAGATGGTAGCTATTATGTATGAATCATACTGAAAGGTTTTTATAGATATATATAATATATATAATATATATATATATATTATATATATATAGATAATATATATATATATATATATATATATCGGGAAGGGTTATTTGGCAACCAAAAAACCCTAAAAAAACCCTAAAAATTATAAAAATGCATAAAAATACCAAGACATCACAAACTTTTTTTTGAATTTTTTTATCAAAAAATCGCAGCATTTTTTACAATTTCGCTGAAAAAAAAATCAATTTATTTTTTTATTATTTTTTTTGTAAAAAAAAAAATTTCAAAAATTTTTTTCACCGATTTTGACCTAAAAGTTGCGTATTTTTGATAAAAAAAATTCAAAAAAAGTTTTTTGTGATCTCTAAGTATTTTTTTATGCATTTTAATGATTTTTTAGGGTTTTTGTTTTCCATAGAACCTAAACCTATATATATATAATATATATATATATTATATAGATCTATATATATCTCTACGCTCATATATCTATATATAGATATATATCTCTATCTATATCTATCTCTACTATATCTATATGATAGATATATGTCTGTGTGTGTGTGTGGCCCCCCTGTCCCCTCCCTCTCCAGGCATGATTCCATATTGCAGTTTCTGTCAGCCAAGTTGTGAGGTAGGTGTGGATATGCTGTCCTGACATGCTTAACAAAACCATTAAGCATTAAAAAGAAGAGTTGTCATTTGAAATGAAAGGAAGGTGAAGGTGAATCCTGTTTCTTACCCCGCTATCTCTAGTCCACCACCCAAAGCAGGCCATCTATAGCTGCTCCTAAAGGCTTTCTTGCAGCTACGTGCACATAAAAACCAACGACCCAAACGTAAGGTAAGTGCTAACTAATAAACACGCGATTGATTATCCACGACCCTCATGCATATAAATATAATGAATATTTACTATGGCTTTGTCTATGATTGAGGGGGGTCTGGGCACCAACCATCCTTCTTCAAAGGCTTTGTCTATGATTGAGCATTCAATGCTTTTGATGGAGATCGGGTTTTCAATTATACCCAGCACACATGAACCTTCACATGGAGCGCGACAAACCCGGTCCGTGCACTCTAGGAAGTTATTTCTTTCAAGAAGTCGATCCAATGCCTCACGCCATCTATTCTGGTAAACCAACTCGTTGAATTCAGGGATTTTCTTCTCAAGAGGACAACCCGTGTGCTCCTGTCATTCATTATTTTACAAACAGGTAAATTTACTAAACTACACTCCAAAATCATGTAAAAATTAATTACGGAAAGTTGTTTGTTACCTGATGGCAAAAAGGGGTACCACAATCCATGCACCATGCAGACTGAGTTGTCAATAGCGGGCCCGCTTTCGACTCTTCCATAACTTCATTCCAATCAGTCATCTGTACAGACGCGTCCCGGTAAGACACACCCTCACGCTCATACACAACAAACCCCCGATGTTTGACCGCATCAGCGACTCTTGATGGCCAGGTCGCATATTCGGCCTTTTCATCCTCCTTCACCTGAAAATCGAAATAAAAAAATTACTATTTTACCCCTCAAACAAAATCTAAAGCATTATAAATAAAAAAAGATATGATTCTCACCTGATTAACAGTGTCAATCAACTGATTAACTGTCTCAGTCAGCGACTTGGCTGCCAGCTTCTTAAGTTCCTCAAAAGCATCTTTCTCCTTCAACACATCTTCCTCACGAATGTCAGCTTCTTCAGCAGCCAAATCAGTAGCCATAGTTACAGTTCAAACATATATCCATACAATTATACATAAATAGCAATAACCGTACATACCTCGTTAGCTTTTTTTGAGTTCTTTTCTATGGATTTTGACCATTTTCAACTCGACCCACCAACACTTAATAACTTTGACTTGTGGAGAGAAAATCAATGCTTTGACCTTGTGTAGATCAATCTCTCGCTTCTTGAAACAAGTAGCTTGGGACTGGAACAACAATCAAATCACAATTTCTCAAACAAATAAAATATAGGGTTTAGAGCTCATTTTAGAGCCAACTGATATGAAGGAAAAAACCTCATGATACATATGCCTTGACCCCCTTTAGCCTATGCCACATTACACCCAATCAGCTTGTGGCTTACTACAGAGAGAACCTAAATTCAAATCTCTAACACATAATTTGAAGAAATCGTTGTCTTTGTCATACATGGTGTATGCAATGAATCGATGATCAGGTGAGACTTCTGATACCTTTTCATATGCATAACCTAAATCAAGTCATGTTAATAGATTAAATGAAGTGGAAGAGAATTAGAGATGTTGAAATGATATTGGAATTAGAATTACCCCCAAATCTTTCTACTTCTTGATTGTAATCGATGAGTTTTTCTTCAATCCTCTTCCCGTAGATGAAATCAAACCAACCTGTTGGACTTTTATGTGAAATGAACTCTTTGTTTAGGCTAGCTAATCTCCTACAGAGTACTGGATATCGTTTCCCTTCCTCTACTCTCCTGTAATACAACCTGAATTCCACCTCCAAATTGCCAAAGAAGAACACAGAATTTGAATTCGGATCCAAAAGAAATCAACAAGCTTCAGATGAAGTGCAATTTGAAATTGAAGGTACCAAGGCCCCAGCGAAATGGAGGAGTGGAGAGCTGAGAAGACATGCGAGATGCCATTTCTGATTGGAGTTTGGATTGAAGGCGATCGGTGTATGCTAAAATAGCTTCAATCGAAGGTGTTTTGAGTGAGAGGAGCTGCTGGATCTCTCTGAACAATTTATTGAGATGTGGTTCAAAGCCCTAGTTCTTTTCGTCGAATGACGCTGATGAAAACATACGGAGACTTGGCGACATCGTGGATAGAGAAGAGTAGTGTGTGATGGAACTGATAAAAACATACGAGAAAAACACTCTTTACAGAATCCATGGCCGCTTAGAGCTGATGGGTTTCGATGCTGGTGATGGCGGCTTAGGACTTGCAAAGCGAAAGGAGAGAGAGTGCAGATCAAGGTATAGGAAGACGGGCTGCTTCAAAAAGGATTGACAACTTCACAATAGAATTAAGGTTCTTTGTTAGAGGATTGTAGAAGGAGAGAAGCATTAGGCGGGTGTTTAATTTTTTGGGATTTCATTTCCCACCATCGCCGATTAATAAAAAGCGAGAACGCGCCTTCCTAAAAAAAATATAAAGCGACATCTTTACACGACACGCTTTTTATGGTAGGTGCCCTCCGTGTTTTTTTTGGACATTAATTTTAGGGCACGCAAAAATGCGTGTCCTCTATCCTTCACATTTTGCAAAGCTGGCATTATTTTTTAGGGCACGCACAAATGCGCGTCCTCTATCAGCGCGTGTCATTGTTTGCACGTCATTAAAGGGCTGTTTTCTAGTAGTGTAATGTGATATAATCGCATTCTAGAATGTAGCACTTCTAGCTACATGCTACTTAATTTTAGCGGTAATCGTGATACTTCTATTGATTGTTTTGATTATATTTTCTGTGACAACCCGTAATTTCAAAATCCTGTAAAAGTTATCTTGCTCAACGGAAGTCAAACATATTGTCACAACTGGCATTTTAGCCAGGAAATTCTGTGATCATGTAAACGTCATCTATGATAATATTTGTAACTCTAACTTGATATCATACACTATGTTCATTCTATAACAACAAACTTAGTCAAGATTCACAATTGAAGTTCAAAACTCTATGCAAAACGATTCAGAAAGTCAATTGGGAGTTGAAAACCCTAAAAATCCCGGTTCAAGTTCATTATGGACTAGGACTCTCTTATTGGGCCTAATGGACCAATAAGCATTCAATTCGACTATTTTGGGCCATTTGGACCTAAAATGGATTAGTTTATCTCTAATGGGCCAATTTGGGCCACAACAAATTCCAATAGCCCTAATCGGCCATAAACTCCATTTCTTTTATTCAAATGGGTCGTGAACTCTCCTAAGGGCCCAATGGACCGAAAATAATTACTTGGGGCTCATGAATTCGAGCTAAATCAAGTAATGACCCAAACCATTCCACTCCTTTTCTTCTATCCCAATTCTCGGCCCATGATAAAAAAAACAGAGAAACAAAGGGGATGAAGTTATGGTGCCACCTCACAATTGCATGGTGGTTTTCCATGCTAAATACCCTCCAAGCAAATACAAATCTCATGCATCAAGGCTTCCATCACATCCAACCTCTCTCCTCTCTTGCTCTCTTTTCTTCTTCTCGGTCGAGCCCCTCCCCTCACTTCACTCATTTTCAAATTACAACTCCTTCCAAAACCTCTCAAGAACTTCTTCATTATTCTCTAAATTTTCGAGACTTTAGGGTGTTTCAAGAGGAATTCTTCATCAAGAACTCATCCATTGTGGTAAGATCTTACACCAAGTGTATTACTTCATCTTTAAACACCTTTACTCCCCTTACACTCTTGTTTTCGTAAATAATATTCTTAGAACATCTTAGAGCTCAATATCTACTCAACGAAAGCTTGCTAGAGCCGAAACCTCTCTCTTTTCTTCACCAAACCGAGAACAAACAAGTAAAGTGAGTTCATACCCCCTTGTTTTCAGTTTTTACATGTTTTTGGGGGGAGAATACAAGTGTTTATGTGTAGATGATCTATGTATTTATGCATGTTATGTGTGATTTTCTTGGCTTATGTTGTGATTATGTGATAAAACTCGATGAATCTTGAAAACTCTAACAAAAATAGGTGAGATTCATAAACTAAAACACTCTAATCATCATACTACAAAGATAAAAGTATTATACATGCCTAAGATGTGAAAAACAAAACAAAAATCTTGTATAAGGATCATTTTTTACAAGTAAAGAAAATATTGGGATAATTTTGCCACTTACGGTTTTGTAAGGATCAAAAGGGTCACATTTGTATAAAATTGAGTTTTTATAACAACTATACCTTCCAAAGGACCAAAAGTGTAAAATTTTGCATTATGGGCCTTAATTTGGGGCCTTACGGCTTTTTGGGCCCAAATTGCAAAAATATAAATTTTTATGGACTAAAATGTTATTTGATTCAAAACTTGAGTCAAAAATGAAAACTTACAAATTTAGGGGCTGAAAATGACACTTATTTCAAAATTGGGGCCAAAAATGTTAAACTTATAAAATTTGGGCCGAAAATGTCATTTATAACAAAATAAAGGCTGAAAATGCCATTTTTATCAAATAAGGGATGAAATTGTGAAATCTTATATAAATGGGCTGAAAATGTCCATGAATGTATATTTGGGCCGAAATTGCAAATTATTACAAAATTGGGCCGAAAATACAAAGTTTCATAAATTAATGGGCTAAAATGTTATTTTTAACCAAAATGGGCTAAAAATGTCATTTTATAGGAAATAAGTCATTAAAAATATATTTAGGTTTTAAGGGACCTAAAGTGTAAGTTTTACAAAAGTAAGTCCAAATTGTAAATTTTGATGTAATGGACTAAAAATATCCTTATAACAAAATATTGGACTATTTACATCATTTTCGTTAAACAATTCAAATAGAAAGACCCATGTTATTGATGGGTTTTAGGTAAAACAAATAAACCAGAAAACAATTCCTAAGTTCACATGCAACCTACTTTGGATCTATGTTTTAACTATTGAACATACAACTTTGAATTGCAAAAACAAGAACCCTAGAGGAGAAAGGCTATTTTCGAAAATAACTAAGGTTTAGGAGTTACATACCTTTCAATTGTTATAGCAAACAATTGATAATCCTCTTGATCTTGATCTTGATCTTCTTGGAAGCCTAGCACCACAAATGTAATGCCTCTAATGGAATCACACCCAAGAACTAGCAAGAAGGAAAGTTGGAGGAGAGAGGGTAGAGAGAGTATGCAATTTCGGCCTAGGGTTTCTTCCCAGAAGTGGTGACCGATTTTGAGAGCTGGGAGGCTCCTTATATAGCTAAGGGATCTAGGGTTTTGGGAAAACCCTAATGCTCCTTTGCTTAGGGCTTAAGCAAACCCAAGGGCCTTATCCAAAGCCCCCTTGGACGAAATCCTTAGGGTTTCCCACTATAGATTTCGTCCACCTCCTTCTAAGGAGATTCTAGAGCCTTCCACTCCACTATTAGATAATTGCAAACTAGTCCCTGCACTTTCAATTAATACTTTTAACCCCAAAATTAATTTTGATTAATTTATGGCTAACTATTAATTAAACATCACTATTTCTAATTAATATATTAATCTTTTAACATATTAATAACTCATTTATATATATTAATTTATTAATCTTATAAATTAATATCTCTCCTTTCATAATTTCCTTGTCCAGTTGCTAGATTGAGGGCAACCCAAAAGGACTGTGCTGCTATCAATTCAAGTACATACCAATTATAGTTATGGGGGTTAGACACCTAATCTAACAGTCTCCCACTTGGATAAGTCTGTAACTATAATTGCTAGTATGCCTTCTAAATTTGACCAGCAAATTGTAGCTTCCAAAAGCTGCTGCTGAACTCTGACCCAGTCAGTTACATGTCCTAAGATAAGTGATCATACAATCCTTCGTTCCGCAAGATATCCCCAGACATAAGACATGGAACGTAATCAATCTCTTTGTCTAGAATCTATGTTTCCCGATTTCTGATTTGTGATGATGTAGGACTTCTAATTGAACACATCAATTTAGTCCTGGCTGGGCCCAGCACATAAGTCAACACCAAATCATCGAGGGGCCCACAGATATCGCTTTTTCCGGTTAGGGCAAAAGGAACGAATAAATGT